ATCAACATATAATTTGAAGAGGATGATAAGATTTTATCTGGTGAAATGTTTGCACGTTTTCCTATTGAATTTTGATGAGATTTATGTAATTTTGGTCTTTCAAACCTATTATGCAACTTCTTTTTACCTGGCACTAAGTTTCTAAATGAAATTGCAAGTAAACTTCCAAGTTGTACTTATATATTCATACCTTGCAGTGATTAAATCTTGATTCTTGAACTAAGTTTCTAAGTGAATAGTTGATGTTTTCTTTTGAAAACAAGAATATAAACGAAGTACTGGGAATTAAATTAATCGTGTATTTATGATAATAATTAAAAGAACGTTGAAAGAGTCTTCTTCTTATCCTGAAAGACAACGACTTCAACATTCCCTTTGAGGAAATTGCACAAGTTCATGAGCATGAGCAACTTCGACTCTTTGATTCCTCTCAAGATCACTTCTTGAGCCAACCAGGAGTTTATAAGAACCGTCGCAGCATGAAGGTCTCCCCACCACCTCCTGATCAGTCATCCTTTTTCTTCTACTTAACTGAGTACATTCTTTAAACTGTTTAAAGAGATCTCCCAAGGCAGATCAACACGCGAATCGACATGGGAATAGCTTCCTGTTCTCTCTACTTGCATACCAATTTAGACTCTGTTTCTGTCTACTTGGCTGAAGACAAGGCCGCCAACTTTTCTGTCATCAACAGCATCTCTCCCTCTAAAGAATTCAGATTACCTGACCCAGATTCTTTGTTTCCCGAGCCCAAGCCTGCGAGAGATCCTTTGAACCCAACACAGAAAAACGTTTCAGGAGGATGTTTTTGAGAGACTGTTGGAAGTGGTTAGGCAGTGTATGAATCCATACTCAGCGGCGAACAACGAGACAAGTTGTGGTGAAGCTGAAAGAGGTATTGGGAATAGAAGCCGACCCAGCAATGCCGAGGCTGTCTCCACAGAGCTGGAGATCATATCCACATACGGAAACTAAACAGAAAAGAGACATCCAGATTGAGGTACCATAGGCTTTTTGTGGAAGAAAGCTCCAAAAGAGCGTTCAATGGAGATTGCCTTGTCGGCTAGCTTCGTCCACATGACCCATGTCATACAGAAGCCACCCTTGGTAGACCAGCCTCAGAAGTAGCCAAGTTACATGCCATTCGCAAACACCTCATCGCGACAGTCCAATCTGTCACAAATCACAGCACAATGTAGCTTTTGTCACCTGAAAAAAAAGATGATCAATCACTATTTGCCTAAGAAGCCAAAAAGGAATCAGAAGAGATTGTCTAAACCTCGGAAAGGAACAAGAGCCAAAGACCCAACATCATCCACGGCTGACCGAACAAGCCGCTTACTTCGATGCTTAGAGCCTCCATGAAATCACACTCTGACCAAATTCTTCTTTTGCATCAGAAGGCTCTTTCAGGCGAGCTTCACTTGCAGGTTAATAATCCAAGCAGGCTCAAAGACAAGAAACAAATCAACTCTTGCGATCCGATCCTAGTTCAATGCCAAAATACCCTCAACTCAAAAACTAATCTCAGAACCATATAACATCGCCGCTGCAATACAGAGAAGCAAATTACAGTTTGAAGAAAAGTTGTTCAGTTAAACCGGGGGAGGTAACGAATTACAGAGCCGCCTTTTCCGATCATTGCACCGGTTCTTGAAGCTGGACATAGTAGCCGGAAATGTACAGGTTACGGCGACGGCGTCGTAACCGGACGCTTTGAGGAAGAGATCTCCATTCGCTGAATAGAGCTCAACGGCGTCGTTTCTTATTTACCATTTTTTTTATTTGTTTTGTTTGATTCATAGGCGTTAATTTAATTTTTAAAATGCATTTAAATCAATTTTGTTATCCATTACTAACAAACTCTACATTGGAAAGAAATTTGACTAATATATATACATGTGTCTATTGGATTTAAATTGGAAATCAATAAAACTTATTAATTTAACATATACAGTAATCACCAGCTGATCTCTCTTTTCTAATTAAAACATCTGAATTACGCTAAAAGAGATTTACATAAACAA